CATATGCAATGTTATTTAAACCACATCATAGACAATGACAAGTAAAGCACATATTCAATGTTGTTTGTTCCACCCGTCATATTCCAATGACATGACTCCAACTGATCTAAGTTTTTAATTTAATCTAATTATCAGCAGTGCTCTACAACAGATCAAGACTATCTTGTAGTGACTCGATTTTAATTTCACATTGGTTGATGCAAAGTGGGTGCCCGTCACCTTAAAACTTGTGAATGGTGCAGACTCTTGATTTTGATGGGTTGGCAAATAACTTCAAATTATTAATTGAGGGACCCTTGGTGATGTTCGAACCTGATTGATGCCCTTACAAGTATTTAGGTAAGATTAGATGAAAAAGCGCCCAAGTTTGAGTTTGAAGTTTTTGACCAGCCGTCAAACCCTTTCGCGTCTTTTTCTCCTCCATACATTGAATTTTGAATGTGAGGCTGGGACCATTGGAAAGCTTGTTTCTGGTGGCTTTCAAATTTGAACACAGAACGACCTAATAAACGGGGTCCGAATGAGAGAGTTACACCTGTTTTGAATTTCGAATTGTCTGTGCTGGGAAAGCATGCTCGCTCGAGCGAATAACAGACCATATAAAGTAATATTTTGGCCCGCAAAAACTTCACTTCTTCATCCTCTCTTCTTCTCCTCTCCTCCATGTCCGAAAAACCTAGCCTCCAAAACTTTGATTTCAATCTATTGCGTTACCAACAATCCACCATGGATCATTGCATCAGGTTAACAGAACAAGCAAGAAATCAAGACTTCGATCCCGATTATTTTGGGATTCATTGAGTTTGAAGATGAGTCTTCACCCATAGCTGCTTCCAATCTGTGAGGAGGGGATCCTAGTCTCCTATCAATCTGACTCTCATCATTCATAAATAGATAGCATATTTGTGGACTACTTTTGAAGTATATAAATCAAAATTACATTTTGACATATATAAGTGTCTCTGTTCATACACATGGATTAAGTTTGTGGATGGCTCATTGTTAAGGCTTTAAGTTGCTATGGTGTATGACCACTGAATTCTTATGATATTGACGGAACCTTAGGTTATAACATAACCAGGATCGGGAAAATTTGGAATCACATAAAAGTATAAGGTTAAGAAGTTTGAAATTTTTCTTGAAATTCTTGAGGTTTTCTTGAAAACCCTAGTTGATTCATGATTGATAAATAATGGGTTTGCCCAAATTAAAAGTAGAATCATGAAATTCGAGGTATGAATTGTAATCATATACAAGTTTAGACCTTTGAATTCTTGGATAGTGTTTGAACAATCATGGTTAAAAAATTAGCGATTTAACCTTTAGCAATTTGGGAATGATTGTAAATCTGCATATGATTATGAAATGAGAATTTGGGAAAACCCAGAGTAGACTTGAATTTACATGGATAGATCTACAATGGCCTCTTTGGGATGGAAGTACTGATTGCGAAATGGAAAGAATTTAACAGAGACACCCTTGAACTTAGTGTTGGAATTAGTATTTAGGTGTGTTGAGTTGAAAAATATGTGAATATGTAGGGATTATGTGAAGTTGGTTTGATATGTTGAGCTGTGTTGATTAGGTTAATTCTGATATGTTGAGATTGTGATTACATTAATGTTGAGTTTGTGAGGATTGTATTGCAGTTGTTCGCGCTTGTTATCAAGCAAGTATATGGGGCGAGTATATTTGCAGATTGCGATCCAACAAATTTCATTTGTATAAAATAATGAAATTATTTCAATTCATAAACCGTGACTCCAGGTAAGGAATTCATTAATATGAGATTAGTGTGGATGCGTTGCAATGATTGCATTGATCACTAGCCACCACACGAGATTTTTGAAAGGAATTATAATTTCTAGATATATCCGTTTGCATTGTTTCATGGAACTATCGTCGTGGAAGGATAGCCTTATGATTGATTATCAGAACATGCACTGCGTTGACTAGGGCACACACGCAACTATTTTATAAAATCTATGCCATCATCATGGAGCATGCAATAGGATTTTGAGGAGTTAACACTGTATTGTTGGTGCAATGGAACATATTTGGATAATTTCTTGTGCATGTTTGATTAGTGACATGCCATTGTTTCATTCTGAAATAAGATTCGTGTTTGGATAAGCAACCGGATTATTGTGCTCAGTTTGAATCAAGTAAGTAACTATCAATTGAATTAAGTCCTGAGATCTACATTGCGTTGTCACCTTGAATATGCCTGTGTGTATTTCTAATAGCGAATCCATGTAATATGTAATGATCTATCTATTGGGAGGAGAAAGGGAGAATTGATACTCCATGTGTGATTTATGTGTTTAAATATATTGTATATGTATGTTGTTTTAGGAGGAGAAAGGGATGGACTCCACTGTTTGGGAGGGAAAGTGGGATGCGCCATTATAACTAAGTGGTCGCAGTGTCTTGGGTGAAAGTTTCGAAATTTATACGCATGGTGCCGATCCCGCAGACGAAATATTTCGTAAAGATGGCAGTTGGAAGTGTTTATGTGTTTGTGTATGATTGGAAAACCACGAGTTGTAGCTCAGTTTGGTTGTTGAAAGATAATGAAATTGACCTCATGAATTGAGAAGAATAAATGAAAGAAATGAACTAAAGGAAAAAGGATTAAGCATTGAAATTGGCATCACGTGGGTAAGTGGATTAGGGGCTAGTGATGATGAAATCAATGGATTGCTTGTGACAAAAGGAAGATTAGGAGTATTGTCTTGTAGTAATTGGGAAATTGAATTAAAAAGGGTTTGTGATTCTTGTGGCATGTTGAAACTCTAATCCTTTGGATTTTGATGTTATGGAGTATGGTAATGGAAATGGAAATGAAATGTGTAAATTTAGAATGGAAATGGAAATGTGGAATATTAAAATGGAAACGAAATGAGGGATAATTTGGAATTGAGTTGATAAATTAAGATAATGTTCTTCCCTAAGGTGTACCTGTTTTCAAAATGAATCTGTGGATTCCTAATGATGAGAGACTACAATTTATGGCAGGGAGTTTTCTAAAGGTCCAAGTGAAATTATAAGAAAAGGTACTTTCCGTATAATGTTTTGAATTACAAAATGTCATCTTACTATATTGATCACCTTGCATGCATGATCATTTCTATCTATGTGTTAGTTATTGATTGAGAACTATGAGATTCCTACTGGGCATTAATGCTCACCCCGGTTGTTGTTTTATCTTTTTTACAGACGGAAGTTTGGATTATTTGATTAAAGATTTATGGGGTTTATCTTTTGTTGATAACTTCATGTAGATGTAAAGGAAGTGGATGTTGTATTTGTATTTATTTATTTGTTGCACTGTAGGAGACTGGCATGTATTTTTGTCATTGTAATATTCATTGAGAGGAGAGAGAGAGAACAGTATCATTGTATTTCTATTACTCAAGTGTAATAATATTTGTATATGTTAAAAAAAATTGGACCTTAAATTACAGGCTTGTAATATTTCTGTGTAACGCCCTCAAAATAAACCCATATCATCATACCTTCACGATAAAAGAAAAGGGATTTCATATTACAATCAATCAGAGTAATCTTAAAAAGGTATTACATTGTTGGACAACAAAAGTAAATACCTTATAGGCTTACAACTTTCCAAGTTAACAACTTGGTTATAAAAAAGGGGATACTAACTCTACACAAAGTAAGCCTTTGGCTTGGTATACATGTAATGCCAACAAAAACAACAAAAAGTGTCTAACAGCCTCAAGCCCCCAAGCTACGTCCTTCGAGGTGGCCATCGCAGTGCACCTGGAAATGATGTCCCATATAGGGTGAGCCAACGCCCCAGTAGAGATATGCAAATTAGATATGAGCAATAACTAAAAACATGAGCACTTGGTAAATGTTTAACTCAGATAATCAATTCAAGATTCATTTCATATACATGACAAATATGTCCATGTTTCATTCCATTTTCCATTACTTATCCAGTTCTCAATTTATGAGTAAGGCTCAGAACCTGGCCAATAATTTAAAGGGTTATAACTCATATCAACAATACTTCCATCTCAAATAGATACACATATTCGCTGTGTCAACACTTCAATAGATACACATATTTGCTGTATCAAAAAACACATAAAA